GTGTTGACGGCGATGCCGGACACCGCGGATGGTTACGTTTAGAGCATGATGCATAACGTGTTGACGCCGACGCTGGACGACGCCACCAATGGTTACGTTTTGAGCTTGGCATGTTACTTGTTGACGGCGATGCTGGACGACGCCACCGACCGTTACAATTAACGCTTGATGCACCTAGTACTTCATGTTGACGGCGACGCTAAACGCCACCGACTATTCACGCGTAATGTATCGAAGGCTTTTGCCTTAATAAGGTTTTAGCCTGAAAATGGGCCTTTGAAAATACATTGCAAGTCCGTAATAATCTTGCAGATCCTGAGTAACTGGCGAAGGGGAAAGGCGGGTATTGTACGGTTGGCCACAAATTGGGCGCGCAAAAAGAATTTATGCTAAATTTGGCGGAAGATGGCAGTGGTGTTTTCAGTTGCCCACTGATTTTGGCTAAGTTTTTTATGAAAGTTTTCAAGATATCTACACCCTAACAAAAGTGGTCATGTAGGCTCTCTATCGGCTGGCGTGTCGCAGCGCCCCCTACGCCGTCACAGCCAGCGCATGTACTATAGTAGAGCTGCGTGCGTCACGTCAGTAAAGGCGTTGCGCACGTGAGAACTCAGCGTTAAAAGTATCATGTTTTCTTTTCTTTTCTTACACCTTGAAACCAATAGTGCCGTTCGCCGCACGTACAGTTCTGCTGCGAGAAACGCGATATGTGTTTCCAGCTCAGTTAGCTAGCGTGCATGGTCAAAACATACTAGGGAGCTTTAGAATAGCGGTAGCGGGCATTGAGGGCGCAGCGGCTGCGTATGGGCGCCATATGAGTTTTAGACTAGCGTTTGCCCCCCTGCAAACTCAAACGCATGATCACTGTGATACCGTAGCGAAACGTAAAAATAATTCACATGCACAGTGAAGTAATTATTTATGCGTTTTAGGTTGTATATACCTATAGGTACGCGTAAAATGTTTTACAGGTGTCATTTTTTTGTTCGGAGACACTTAGTCGATATCGCAGCCAAGATAATCCAATCTCAAGTTGTTTTTCTGTAGCTCATGGTGTAGTGATCAAGGTGGACGATTGGGCGAGTTGGTGATTCTGCGCTTGTCCTTGTATCTTCTTGTCGTCCGTGTTTACTACCGCGCAGTCACATACGTGTAGTGATGCTTGGCTGTTTCGTCTACCGCCATAATGCATCGGCGTTGACAAATGCGTCACAGCGTTTTGTGCCGTGCAATGACTTATTTCCTCATGTCGTGGAAATATTTTGAAGACCCAATATTTGAAGTACTTGCGATACCCAGACCACGCCTCCACAAATCTGCTGGCGGCTTTAACACCAGCTGCCTGGACCCCCAAACTTTCCGACGATGGTTTCATTTTTGAAAGGACCATCTTAAACAACTGATGGTTGTCTGCTCATTCTTTAAGTCGCGCAAAGCGCGCTGAGTGTAGTGCTTGGCGAGGAGGCGCTTGTAACGACTATGTGACGGCTTGCCTATCGGAACTGATGCTATGACCTCGAACCACTGTTTGGGCAAGCTCCTTGTGATGTCACCTGCCGCCAAACGCGTATGCGTGAATGTCATTGACATGACGTCACACTAGAGTTAGCATATAACTGACTAACTCAATATACCTGTGTTCATTCTACTTTCACCATCCATTACTTCAGTGGCGATGACGCGATTAACACCCAAGCCCAGGGAACGGTATGGCGACGCATGCTTGACCGCCTAATTTTGACGAAGGGGACGACAAGTGGGAAGCATATCAGGTGTTACAAGAAGCTTTCTTCGAAGCCCATGAAATTGTCGATACTAAGAAGCGTCGGGCTCTGCCGGTTAGCGCCCTCAGTACCATGACCAGAGACCTTCTGGCAGGCCGTTGTCCACCTGAAAAGATTCTGGATCTGACGTACGAAGCAGCAGTTCAAAAATTGGCCGAGTACTTTGCGCCGAAAGACAACGAGAAAACGGACTCGTATCGGTTTTTTACAAGAAATCAGCAAGCTGACGAGTCAACAAGTGATTTCATTGTCGAGCAACGAAAGATGAGCCAATGGTGCAATTTTGGCCAGGCGCTGGATAGAATGCTGCACGACAGACTTGTTAGCGGCCTGCACGATGCTGGAGTTTGTCGTAACTGCTGGCACGGTCCACGCTATCGCTGCAGGATGCTTAAGAAGTGGCGTTAGCGGCTGAGTTGGTGGCGCGCAATGTACAACATTTTGGTAAATGTACAAATGAGTGACGGCATCAATGCACTCTGGAAAAAGCAAGAGGGGCAGCTCTTAAGGACGTCGCAGCTAAGGTGGATGGCACAATCCAGCTACGAGAACTAGAACAGATGCCTTTGCTTTGGCATTGACCACCACAGGACCACCAAGTGTAGGTTGCGCCGCGCTGAATGTTTCCGTTGTCGTTAAGGCGGGGGCACCTGGCTTCTATGGGCAAATCCGACCCACACCAAGAAAACGTAGCGCACTGTGAGGAACCATCTTCGGGCAACGTGGACTACGGACAGTTTTTACTACACCTCCGTGAGTCGTCTACTGCAGTGGTCGAGCCATTAAGGCGAACGTTTCATTGGAAAGGCGTTCCGGTGAAGATACACGCAGACACTGGACCATCAGTGTCAATAGTAATGTGGCCAACGTATATCCATCACCGTCACCATTGGCCCAAGCTTGGCAAGTCGTAGTTCCACTTGACTTGCTTCCTGAGGAAATTGCCTGTGAAAGGACAGCTGCAAGTTCCGGTCACCTACACTGGGAAAACCATCAACGTGCCGCTTGTGGTTCTCGCCTGCTCTGGCCCAAACCTGTGTGGTCGGGACATAATTCAAGCATTCCAGCTGACTGGAGGCCGAGTGCTCAACGTGGACATCAACGACGGTAAGCTACCAAAGACTGATTTGTTTGCGCCAGGGCTGGGATTAATCAAGGGTTATCCGGTTCATTTACAGGTGCGTGAGGGAGTCGTACCGCAATTCTGTAAGACCTGTTCTTTACCATACGTGCTACTAGAGACTGTAAATGAAGAAATCGCAAGGCTGGTTGACACCGAAATTTCAACGCAGGTTGCCAGCGCCGAGTGGGCGGCGCCTCTTGTTCCCGTCGTCAAGAAAGATAGATCCTTCTGCCTGTGTGTTGATTTTAGAGCGACCATGAACACAGCATGCCACACCAAGCAATAAGCATTGCCGAAGATAATAGATATATTTTCGAAGCTCGGAAAAGGGGAAGTATTCAGTACAATAGACTTCAAGGACGCATACCACGAGCTTCCAATAGATGACGCGACAAAGAAGTTGTTAGTAGTAAACATTCTAAAAGGGCTGCATTTCTTTAACCGCCTACCATTTGGGGTTGTGTCAGCACTGGCAGTTTTTCAGAAGCGAATGGAAACTATACTGGATAATCTGACAGGTGTGCAAGTGTACTTGGATGATGTGGTGGTCTCCGATAAAAGAGGAAATCGTGAAGCTCTGCGCAAGGTGTTCCAGCGGTTCATAGAAGCCGGTGTTAAGCTTCACCCGATCAAGTGCAGATTTCGTCTTTCGGAAGTGCAATTCCTTGGGCACCGAATTAGCGCCGATGCTCTGAGGCCAAATACTGCGAACATCGGCGCGCTGCTACAAATGTCTCAACCTTTATGCGTCGCCGAGAAGCGCGCGTTACTTGGCCTGGTCACGTATTACAACGCATTTTTGGGCAACTTGGCTTCCGTACTTTCACCGCTGTATGAGTTGCTTATAACACTCCATGACAATGGGAAGCTAAGCGAGAGGATGCCTTCGAGGCAGAGAAGCGGTTGATAAAAGAGATGCAGGTTTTGATGCACATTGACCCGAGCAAAGTCCTTATCTTGGAGACGGATGCGTCTTCATCGGGCATAGGGGCGGTCTTTTATCACAGAGTTAATGGCGTAAACCAACCGATCGGTTTGATGTCGTACCCTCTGTTCAGCCAAGTGAAATTATGCCCAGATTGAGCGCGAAGCTTTAGCAGGGATGTTCGGCGTGGCGAAGTTCCGCGAATATTTGCTGGGAAACAAATTTACATTGGTAA